CCTGGGAGAATCTGGGTCACCTCCAAGGAACTGTGCTTGCTGCAGGATTCAAAAGTCCTTTCCAGAGGCAGCAGTACCTGCTGATTCCCTGCAAGGGCAAAGCTGGAGTCCCAGAAGGAGTTGCTGGTGGGAGGTGACAGCAGCCTGGTCACCAGGGCAGTCCCTCTGCCCTGCCCGAGTCTGGGGGGCAGCTCTGGCACTGCCCTGCTCCTCTGCAGGATGGGGACACAGGGCAGGTGACAGGGGTCAGCACAATGGAGGCATGGACCCTGGGCAGAGCTGGAGCAAGCAGCCCCATTGTCACCCAGATCCAGTCTCTCCTGCCTGACTCACACAGGCCCCAAGCAGAGCATATAGCGCACTCTTGCTGAAAACACAGCATTAATTACACTGCTCAGAGAGCCATGGCTCCCCATGCCTTGCTGGGCCCCCCAGCAGCTCTGCCTGTATCCTACCCCTGCACCACTGCATCAGCCCCCTTGTCTCAGTGCTCGAATAATTGATGGCGGTGGGTGCATGCAGTCATCTCGGGTAGGAGGAGGTCTGGGCATGAATCTTTCATTTGTCTATGCCTCCTGGAACTGCTGGAGGTAGTGATGTGATTGGAGCCTGGGGAGATGAGGACAATCCCCAGGCCTGTCCCCAGGGAGAAATAACTGCAGTGGATGGCCCTCCTCATAGGACAGAGCAGCACCACATCAGCCTTCTGGCCCTGGGGAAGAGCGATGGTCTGCTCTGACCCCTCTCCTGAGGGCTGGGGACACCCCAGGTGCCCTCCCCAGCACCACCTCCCCTTGCTGCCACTAGAAAGATGCCCCAGCTCACGGTGCCTGCTGCAGGCAGATGACACAGGACAGCAATGTGACCTTGGCCCCGAGTGCTAGGGCACAAAGCGGGATGGCAGGAGCCATTCTGTCCCTGCTCTGCCAGACCCACTCCCAGCATCCCTGCTGTCTCAGGCTGAAGGGCTGCATGCAGAGGGCAGGGCAGTTTAGAACCCGCTAGCCCCTTCCCAGTGCTATTGTGCCAGCAACCTGGTCAGAGGGCCACAGCAAGCGCTGGGAGGAGGAAGAGGCTGTCACCCAACACGCAGCCCTGAGCGGTGGTGCTATATTTACCCGACCACAGGCCCAGGTCTCGGCCTCTTGCCTGTAACACAAGCCCCGCAGCCCGCCAGAATCTGAGGGGACGGCACATTCCTTAGCAAAAATAACCCACCGGCAGCAGGCAGGAGGGCAGGGGTGGAGGTGACTGACTGGACAGCTGCACCCGCTGCTCCGCTTGCAGGGAGCAGCCTCCTGGTCCTCAGCACCCCGTGATGGGGACCCAGCACACGTGGCCACCGCACCAGCACCCTGCCCACAGAGACCTGTCCCTGTGCCAGCCAAGACCAGCACCTGGGGTGGCACTGGCCAAGCAGCTCCCCAGAGGCAGCCCCCACAATGTCATGGTGCACACTCCACAGAGGGGCATAGCATCCTGGGCTGCAGCCTTGCTGCATCCTGGGCTCCTCCGAGATGCTGATGTGCCCTAGAGCTTCAGGGACAGCAAGGGGAAACTGAGGCAGCCCCAAGAGTCCCACAGGAGGGAGGAGATGGCAACAGGACGTGTTAGGTCCTGTTCAGTCCCTGAGGAGGGCTGGCAGGGGCTCCAGAGGGAAGGGGCAGTTGGCAATAAACATGGGCACGTTGCTGCAAAGTAAGGAACTAAAATTAGGTACTGAGATAAATGGCGAGAGGTGCTTAGCCACCAGGGACACTGTCAGCGCAGCCATCTCCGTCAGGCTGCTATTGCCATTGCTGTGCACCACCCACTGCAAAATCATGCCCCCAGTGTAACCCTGGGCTGGATGGGAAGGGTCCATGCAAGGCCTCTGCACACAGGCAGCTCCTGCCCCTTCCCTGCCCCCAAATCCAGGCAGGTGCAGGCTGTTCCCTGGGCAGAGGAAAGGTTCCAAGGCGGTTTGATTGCTGAGTGCAGGTGGAGGCAAGCAGAGCAAGACCCTATACTGGGAGCCCAAGACAGACACATCCAACCTTGAAACAAGAGGCAGCCCCTGCAGGGAGGAGGATCAGGCAGCGCTGGCACAGCGAGGGAGAGCTGTGCCCTAAAATCAGATTAGCTCAGGTTCTTAAGAGGTGATTTAATCCAGTTTCCAGGAAAAAAAAAAAATCAGGAGATGCACCTGAGAGGTGATAAAGGCTTTAGCGAGCCTGGGGGCAGTGTATTTGCAATGGAGACCAGAGCTGGCTGGAAGGGTCCAGAGGGTCCCTGGATGGACCTGGGAAGCCCCCAGACCAGCCTGGTGCTGGTGTGAGAAGGGCAAATGCATCCCACCTGCACCCATGGAGCTGGGGTGTGAGGGAGAACCTACAGCAGGCACAGACAGTGTGGTGGGACACGGCACAGACAGTGTGCCCCCGGCAGCCCCTGCACCCAGCAGCCCCACACATGCGCTCCCTGATCCCCACACAGGCACTGACGCACTCAGGGCACCTGGGAGAAGAGCAGGAGAAAATCATTAGTGGGGTGGAGCGACAGATTCAGGGCAAGGGATTAGAGGAGCTAAATTGGGCTTGTGCAAGCAAGGGGGAATGCTGAGCTGGTACAGCAGGATCTGCTGGGGCTGAGCACAGAGCTGGGCAGCAGAGAGGCTCCCAGCCCACTACCAGTGACCTGAGCCACCTTGGGGAGAGCTGATGCTGGCCCTGCGATGAGCTGCAGCCTGGCTTGCACGCTGGGAGAGAAGCCCACCTGTGCCCACCAGGAGCTGCAACACGGTAGAGGCGAACTGAGCAAGGGCATCTCAATACCTTTAGATATGGACCCCGAGCCCTAGGTAAACACTTGGGGACCTTGAACACCTCCCCCTTGCTCTATAACTGGCTGATGACCTGGCTCACAGGGCTCCCAGTGAACAAGGATGGGGCATCCTTGTCCAGCACAGGGATGGCACATCCACCAGTGGGACGTCCACAGTCCCCAGAGAGCTAGATCTTGGCAGGGAGTGTGAGAAGCCTCCAAGCAGCTGGGGCCTGCATGCTGGAGGCCAGTGAGCCATGGCACACATCCTGGTGCGGTGTCAAGGCAGGCGGGTGCAGAGCGGTGGCACAGCTCCTCCATTTCACACAATGACCTGTCTCACTGCTTGGCTGCCAGCATGGAGAAAAGGGCCTCTGGAGATCAACACGCTGAGTGCCAGCACCCTGCAGAGGGATCTGGTGATAAAGCTGGACCCCCACCACATCCCATTGCCTCCACAGCAGCATCCTACTCCAGAACCTAGCAGGACATGGCGCTCCCTGGGCACTGCTGTGGCACATCACAGAGACTGTTTTGCCTGAGGGCAAGGGCAAAGCCACACCATGGGCTGCCGCGGTCCTTGCCAGCCCAGTGTCCTGGAACCAGCATGGCTCCAGAGGCACCTCTGCCCTGGAGCTGTTGTTTTGGGTGGCTGTTTGCTTGACGGCGGTGCACCCACAGCCAAGTGCCCGTTGCCAGGTGGAGTGCCCAGGGTAGGGTGACATTCACCCCATGATTAGGCAATCCTGGCTGCTCCATCCCTCCCTCAGCTGCTCCAGAAAGGTGGCAGTGAGGGCTGACGTCTGGGAATAGGGAGCAGGGACAAGTGCATCAGCACAACAGGAATGGGCAGCTGGGGAAATCAGGTGGTGCCATGGAGAGGTGCAGCTGCACACTGGAGTGTGGGAATAGCCTGATTGCTCCTTATACTGCTCCCAGAACAGCCTGCTGCCGCCCCATGGGACAGTGCCGGTCTCCCACTTTGCACACACAGCGCCACGTGTCCAGGTGCAGTGCCACTGCCCTCAAAGGCGTGACGCGCAGTGACCCTGCACAGATCCACTGCAGGGCAGGATCCGTCATGCACATCTCTGCTTCCCATCCCCCCAGCAGGCCCATGAGCAGCACATACACCTTCCTCCATCCTCCAAAGGATGGCTCCTCCAGCCTCCCTGCTCACACACAGCAACTCCTCCTCTTCCTCCATTGCTCCCTTTCAGCACTGCAAAGGCTCCTTCTCCTCCCCCACAGACACCGAGTCCCCTCCACAAGGCCCAGCATCTCCAGCACTCCTTCTGTGCTGCCAAGGCCTGGGTGCAGCTGCTTCCCCAGAGCCTCAGGCCTCAGCACCGCCTACCTTGCTCCCTGCCCTCGCTATTCCCATGCAGTCAGCCCAGTATGTCAAAGGGGTGCCACCACCCAGTACCATATGCTTCCTGACACCCAGGTCTGTAAAGCCCAAGGGAGGTGGCATCCACCCTGGAGCAGAGGGGGCTGAGCCCCAAGTTTGCCTGGCCCCCATGTAGGATGAGACCCACCCATGCAAGGGCCCACAGCAGTTCCACGCCCACCCTGTGTGCCAGAGGAGCACGAGGACGCTGCTGCACCCAGGGGGGAGAGCAGAGTGGCTGCCTTCGGCTTCCACCCCAGCTCATTAACCACCAGGCCCCGCCTCCTGCAGTGTCAGGCTCCTCCCCCGGCCCCATGCTGCAGCCTCCCAGTTCTCCCAGTACAGCCCCAGGGCCCGGTACACTGCGGTGGAATGCCATGGGCAGCTCTGCCCGCGGCTGGTGCATGGGGTAGCTTGTGCAGGGGCACCGTGGTGTCCAAGGGACCATGTTGGTGGCTGCAGAGGGTTGCAGCTCCAGTGCCATGCACCCTCATCTCTCTCTCTCTCCTCCTGCCCTGAGCAGGCTTGGCATCACATGCTCCCAACACCTCCGTGCTCAGCCTTGGCACCCCGCCTGGCCTGGCAGCAGGTACTGCAGCCACATGCTCGCTGCAGGCCAGAGAGACACTACAGTGCTGCCAGCACTGGGCACGCCAGCCTGCAGCAGGGTTGGCACAGCAAAACCCAGCTCTGGCTGTCCATGGCCATGCACTACAGTGGGAGCTTGCAAAGCACCGCTGCCACCTTCAGCAAATCCGAGCCCGTGGCTGTGCCAGCACAACTATGCCAGCATCCATGCTGCCCTTACCTTCCATGTCAATGATGGCAAGCACAGCACTGGTCATGGCCTCTCCCCGCTCATTCTTGGCAATGCAGGTGTACACTCCGGCATCCTCCTTCTTGCTGTCCCGGATCCAAAGGGTTCCATACTCCTCCTCGCTTGGGGCCAAAATCTCCTCGTTCCGGTACCAGCGGAGGCTGGGCCGGGGGTTGCCCACCACCACCACCCGCAGCCGGATGTCGCAGCCAGTGCCAATCGCAGCATTCTTCAGCTTCCGCACAAAATATGGTGCCGCCAAGCGAGTCGGGCCCTCCTCAGCTGCCCCCACCTCTGTCGTGACCTTGGCGCGCTTCGGGGGGATGCCGGGGCTCGGCGGGGCCGCCCGGGGATCCCCACTGGCCCTACTGGTGCCACCACGTCCCTGTGCTCGGTGCATGATCTGCAGCTCCCCTGCCCTCACCTGCCACCCCTGCTGCCCTGAGCCGGCAGCACCGTGCCCCTTTTCTTGCCCTGCCTGCAGCCCAGGGGTGCTGGGTGCGTGCCAGGGGTGCCTGGGCACAAGCAGCCCCCCAGTGCAGGTGCTGTCCGGTTCACTGCCTCCACCCCACCAGTTGCAGCCCCGAAGGTCGCAACTCCGTGGGCAAGCGAGGGGCTATTTTTAGGTGGGGGCTCGGGTTGCTGGTGGCTGAGCCGCAGCTCACCAAGTGCCCGGTGCTGTGTGGCACCCACACCCCATGCTCCGCTGCGACCCCCAGCTTGCCCGGCCCCTCGGCACCTGCTTCTCTACCGGCCTGAGTGCGAGTCCCACGGGTGTCGGCTGCTCGATGAGCCGTCCCAGCACTGGGGCCCTGGCGTCCCCCCTCCTCACCCGTCCTGTCCCGTCCTGCACGGCCCTCGGCGAGCTGCTCTCCCTCTGCCCCCTCTTCGAAGTGGCAGCTGCCTCTGATATGTCACATTCCTTGGCCGGGCTCCCCCTCTCCGCACCCGCCGTCCCGGCCTTGCAGCCTAGCTCCTCTTGCAAAGATAGAAAGGGGCCAGCGCCTTTCCATATTAGCAGTGAGGCTGAGGGGGACCCAGCCTTCCTCCCCCCCTTCTTCTTCTCCAGCCGTGTCATCGGATCAGGACAGAGAGACCCTGGTGGCATGTGGAGGGAAAGGACACCATCATGCTTCCTGCAACGAGACCCTGGGCAAGAGCCAGCCCAGAGGGGCCCCTTTGCCCCATCCCCAGCAGGCAGCGGAGGAGTGGATCCTTGCATCCATCCTCACCCCAAAACCACCCTGCTGGAAGGATGCAAACACAGCAAAACCCCATTTCTCTCACTGAGACCCTGCCTCACTGCCCTGGGCAGTGTGAGTCCTGTCCTGCCCTGCCTCCTCATGCAAGCTCTGCTTAGAGCACGAGCACTGCTGTTTGGGTTTGGGGTGCCCCATGAGAGCTCCCACAATGCTATGTTCCAGGCAGTGAGTGACCAGGGACTGCCTGTGCCACGCTCTGCCTCACCACCCCCGGCCAGGCAGGGCTTCCCCAGCTCCTGGAGCGACGCACACGTCTCGGCACCTGGCCCTGGCCGCCCTCGCCGGGGCTGTAAATCTGGGTGCAGGACACGAGCGACACGGCACGCTGCTTCCCAGCTACACACCAGCCTTGGCACAGCCCGTTGCCACCAGCCTGAGGGTGCCAGCATCATGGAGCATCACCTGTGAGCAGGAGATCCCAGGATCCCTGCAGCTTGGGGGGGCTGGGGCACACTGGAGCAGGATGCCCAGCTAGACCCACAGCCTGGCTGCAGATGGGCTGAGCAAGCCCCAGCCGGGGTCTCTGGGGGCTGGAGGGGAAGTCTGTGAGAGGCTTCGGGGGCTCTTCCCTGCCTGAACTGCCCTGCGGGCAAAGGGCTGCTCCGTCCCCTGCCGTCCCCGCTCTGCCGCAGGGGCAGCGCTCTAGCCCAGCTAGCCTGGCCCGGCCAGGGAGGGAGGTGTCGTTCCCCCCCAGGCAGCCCCGGGATCCGTCCTCGGTGTCACAGGGCCACCTGCTGGAGACAGACCTTGAGAGACGACACCCCCCGGCCCAGGCCGGCCCGCACCCGAAACTGAGGCTCTCCACGCCGGCCTTTTCACCAGGGACCCCCAGTGCCGCTCCCACTGCTGGCAGCAGCACCTGCCTTGTCCCTAAAACGCCACACCCGGCCAAGCCCATCGCCCTCCCGGGGGGGTGCAGACCCTCCAGCACCTCCCTGTGCAGAGCAACCCCGAATTTCTCTCGCCTGGAGGATGCTCGACTGCGGGTTCCCCTGCTGCAACCCCACATCGCTGGGGTGAAGGAGATGAAGTCAAGACATCCCCCACACCATAATGACAGCGAGGACGGCTTGTGTGCTGGGGGGAGAGGGCGTACGGATCAGGATGAAGCTGGAGGTTGAAGCTGGAGGTTCAGCCTGGGGTGGGGGCAGGTGTGGGATGTTGGGGAGTGCTGGAGGAGGAGTAGATTTGGGATGAGGGGGCTCTGCTTGTAGACTGTGGGAAAGAGGGGTCTTGGAGGAGTCCCAGGCAGGTGTGGGTTGGGACAGGGCTGGCCGGGGTGGGGGCAGAAAGGGGGTGGCCGTGGGGCTGAGAGCCACAGGGCTATGGTGGGAGGTCCTGGGTGTGTGAGGGGACAGGAGACAGTCACCCAGAGCCCCTCCAAACCTGCTCAGGGCTCAGCTGCTGCCACTGCAGCCAGTCCCAGCAGAGCTCCCCCACCCGGCACATCTGGAAAATCCACCGCCACAGGCAGCAAAAATGCTCTGGGCACCTTCAGTGTGAGGGACACAAGCGTTTTGAGGGGACCAACAGCTTAAGGAAGAGACAGCTCAGGGAAATGCTGGCCCCTCTATCAATCCCAGCCCATCCCTGATGGGATGCACACCCCCCAGTGCTGCCTCCCCGCCACCCCGCCCCATCCCTGCCCCAGAGATGCCCTGGAGTAAGGATTGATGCTCCGCTGTTTATTTCAGCCGCCCAAAGAGTCAGGTAGACGCTGTGGGGTGGGGGTGCAGTGGGGCGAGGGTTGGGGGCACTTGCCCTGGCCCCCGGGCCTCTCTCAGGCTCCTCTCCATCTCTCCCCCCTTTCCCACTCACTCACTCCTCCTCTCTCCTGTGTCCACCTACATGTACCCTCTCGGCTCATGAGCCTGGACCCGCGCAGCCTCCTGCTGCTGGGGTCCCCGCGATGGTGGGAGGGAGGGAGGGCGCTGCCCTCCTCTGCCCCTCTCTGCCCCATGGGACTGCCTCTCTGGCTGGGGGGAGCGCAGGGCCCCATCACCCCGGGGCCAGGAGGAGGACGCAGGCTGGGAGCACCCTGGCTCCGAGCCGAGCAGACAACGGGGACTCAGCTTGGAACCTGCTTCTCCCTATCCTGTCATCACCGCCATGCACCCAGAGAAGTGCCAGCTCCGGGGGTCCGGCGGTGCCGGTGCAGGGGGATGGGATGGACCCCAAGCCCGTGCCGGAAGTGGGGAGGGGTCTCTGGGGGGATCCAGAACCCGCTGCTGGGACCGTCCGGCTCTCTGAGGAGCTGGCCCAGGCCACCACCTGCTCCCCCCGACCCCTCCTGCCTGTCCCCTCCCTCCCGCCTTCCTGCCGTCCCCCGGCCTGGGCCTGATCCTGACGCTGGCGTTGCCACTGCGAAGCTGCGAAAGCATAGTGAGCCTTTTGAAGCCGAAGGAGAGAGCCCGGGGGTGCGGGGGCCAGGAGGCGGCTGCGCGGGGGGACCCCTCGGGCAGTGCCGAGGGGCGAAGTGGGGGCAGGAGGGGGGCTTGGCGGCGGGACGGAGGCAGGGACAGAAGGTGCCAGTGGGCTGCCGGCGCTGCCTCCTCTACAGCACTTCGTGCTGCTGCTGGGTTGCCTCACTCACCACCTGAAGGAGAGAGGCACCGTGAAAGGCCACGCGTCATGTCTGCACCAGAGCCCCGAGCATCGGGACAGGCTCCGTGCTCAGCCCTGCCCTCCACCCCCACCCCCTGCCTCTCTGTCACTGGCTGTGCTCACCTCCCCATCACGGGTTTCGATGGTTTTGATCATTACGGTCTTTTTGGTGTGCACCTCGGAGGCACGCTGCTCTGGGCTGGTCTCTGTGGGTGGGAGAACACAGGGACATGTGGCATGGGGTCACAGACATAGGGCTGGGGTGACTAGGGCGCTTCAGGAGCCCTGGATTAACCCCCTCTCAGTTTATGGCAACAACCAGCCCAGTGTCTCCACGCCAGGAGCTCAATGTGGCACACCTGGGTCCACAGCTGCCAGCCTGGCTGCAGCCCTCCAGGAGGGATATTAGCCCAAAAACTGGGGACCCCTGGGGACTCAGTGCAGGTCCCCCTCTTCACAGAGCAATGCTCACCTCGGAAATTGAGTGCAGAAGCAAAGGTCTGGTGCATGGGGATGCTGATCCTGTGGGGAACAAAGAGGGGAGAGCTCAGCACCAGCCAGCTCCAACCCTTGGGTGGCTGCTCATGGGGTGAGAGCTCAAAAAACAACTGACCCTGCTGGTCCTCTCACTTTGTCCTGCCCTCCCGCCACTCACCGGCTCTCCTCGCCTTCCAGCAGCTTGCGGTATGTGGCAATCTCCACGTCCAGGGCCATCTTGACATTGAGCAGGTCCTGGTACTCACGCAAGTGCCGGGCCATCTCATCCTTCAGATGCCGGATCTCCTCCTCCAGCCGGGCAATGGTGTCCTGGTACCCACCAGCCTCCCCTGCAAAGCGTTCCTCCATCTCCCGCATTTGGCGCATCAGCGAGTCATTCTGGGGAGACAGCAGGGCTCAGTGAGGAGGGGCGATCTGAAGGGGTCAGGGGTCACCTGGGGTGGGAGCTTGGGATGCTGGGGGGTCCCTAGGGGAGAGACAAGGACTTAGGGAGACCTGTGGCTAACCCTGGGCGGAGTCCAGCAGACACAGGACAATAATGGGTGGCTGTCACCCTCTGTCTGCCCAGCTCTGGGCAGCAGGGTCTGGTAGGGACAAGCTGGGGATGTGCTAGGTTACCTCAGCACCCTGTGCCTTGGCACTCAAGCCCCCCAGCAAAGCCATCCTACCCCATGTAGAGGGGCATGGAGAGGTGCAGGAGCACCAAACAGCTGCCTGCAGATGGCACTGCCACACTGGTGGCTGCTGGCTGGCTCCTGTGACCATGAGGGTGCCAAGGGACTGTTGTGCCTTGTGTGTTTGTAACCACCTTCCCGGCCTGCAACCAGACACCCCGAGCACTGTGCCGCCTGCCTGGAGCCTCCCAGGCTGGGCACCTTTTGCAATCTGTGCCTTGACCTCAGGGCTCTGCCAAAACACCTCACATAGACCCTGACTGCCACTGGGGGAGGTGCAGCCCAAATCTGCAGTATGAGTCCCCCCATGGCAGCACCACAGAGAGCCCCCCAGAGATGTCCAGAGCTCCCCTGGAGCAGGAAGTCCAACACTGCCCACTGCTTACCGTGCCCTTGAGGGCATCAATCTCGCAGGTGTAGGATTGGATCTGGTGCCGGTACTCCAGCATCTCCTGTTTTGCCTGCCGCAGTGCGTCGTTGTTCTTGTTGGCCGCTTGTGTCAAGTCATTCACCTGGGGAGAGACCAGGGTCAGCACGCAAGGGCACTGAGACTGACAAGTCCTACTGCCCTGGGTCCAGCCAGGAGCCCACTGCCTCCCGCACCTTGGACTTGTACCACTCCTCAGCCTCCGCGATGTTCTTGGCGGCTATGCTCTCGTACTGAGCACGGATGTCCCGCAGCGCAGCCGTCAGGTCAGGCTTGGAGATGTCCATCTCCACCTGGATGTGCTGCTCCTGCAGCTGAGCCTGCAGCTCCCGGATTTCCTAGGGGGACAAAGTGACACCTCAGGGCACCCATTCCATCACCCAGCCCCATGGGTGCCTGTGGGAAAGGGGGCCACTGCTGACCTACCTCTTCGTGCACCTTCTTGAGGAAGGCGATCTCCTCCTGCAGGGACTCAATGCGTCTCTCCAGGTCAATTCGTGCCAAGGTGGCTGCATCTACATCCTGGAGGAACACAGTGAGGGGCAGTGTGTTTGGGAGGCGTGCGGAGAGAGGACCAGTGTTGGAAGGTGCAGGGCTGTGCTCAGAGCCATGCCCTGGAGTTGGGGCCAAGCTCCTGGGGGGACATAGGGATGGGAAGGGAGGTGAGGGTCCCATGCCACGCAGGGGGGACAGGTACTCACGGCTCTGAAAGCAGCCAGGTTGTTCTCAGCCTCCTCCTTCAGCTGGATCTCCTCTTGCAGTCTACAGGCAGAGAGGGAAGGTTAGGGGTGGGGGGGTGGGGGGGCAGAGGAAGCCCCATCCCACAGCAGCAATGTACCCCTGAGCTGTCCCTTAGCTCAGCATGTCCCGGTGGGAAGACAGTGGATTTTCCTGTATTCCCGGCAGGCATTGGGAGGGCTGGCAGAGGGCCAGGGGCTCTTCCTCCCATTCCCTATTATAGTCAACGCTGGAGAGAGCACAAAGGCATGAGGTCAGCTCGGTGCCACGCGCACTGCCCCGGCCCTTATAGGGGAGAGTGGTCAGCAGCTGGGGGGACGGGGTGCAGGATCCAGCACAGGGGGCCCAAGGGATGGCCACCGGCTGAGACATCCCTGGGAGAGCAGGACAGGCAGGTCTCAGCGATGCTGTGGGACAGGGAGCAGGGACTTCTGTGGTGTGAGCCCAAGGTCAGGGCTGGCTGTGCCAGGGGAGGGGGCAGTGCTGCTGCTGCCGGTCAGGGGGAAGCGGGGGGGGGGGGGGAGAGGGAGGTGCCCGGGTGGTGCTGGCACTGAGGGTGGCAGGAACCCTCACCCATTTGTTGTGTGCCTTGTTCCTCCCCTGACATTGCAGGGTCCTCCATGCTGCCCCCCCAGCCTCCCAGCATCGGAGGCTCTGCTTCACGTAGCAGAGGATCCTACCCCACCACTGACTGGCTGGGGCACAGGCTGAGGCTGGGGAGAGGCAGCAGGCTGTGTTACCCCCAGGAGATGGGGACTGGGTGTCCCCTCAGCATAGGGGCCAGGAGAGAAGGTGCAGACCAGCATCAGAACAAGCAGCTCCCCCTGCGCATCCATCCCTGCTGCCAGGTGCCCCGAACTGGTCAGTCCCTGGGGTTCACTCAGCCTGGCCACCTTTGTGGCTATTCCCTCCTGGCCCCAGTCCCATCCTTGGCACCAGCCAGGCCCATGGCATCCTCGGGGGGTTCCTCCTGCTCCCAGAGTGCCATGGACACCCACACAGGCCTGGAGCATCCCTGCGGAAGTGCAGCTGCTTCCTCCCCTCCCTTCTTTGCATCCGGAGCTGGCGAAGTAGATACCCCCCCCCCCCCGGGTCATCCTCCCCCTTGCTTCCACCTGCCTGGAGGTTCCATCCATCTGCCTGGCTGTCCCACAGGGCTCAGCTCACTGATGGGCTCTCCAGCCCTCTCTGGTGTGAGAAGGGTTGGGGACCTGATGGGGGGCACTCTGATCCCCCAGCTCTGGGGATTCCATGGCACCAGAACCTGACCTCAGCCCTACCACAAGGGAGGGTATGGGGGGACACCCTTGCTGCTGGAGCCGCCCTGCCCACTGGGTGCTACCTGGGTGCCTGGTGAGGGCTGGCAACAGCCATCAGAGTACCCTGCTGAGATGCCCAGGCTGTGGGCATCTACCTCACTTTGCCCCCCACACCCCTGGGACAGCTTACCCCTGCCTGTTCCACACTGTGGGTCAGGGAGCACCCAGCACTGGCATAGCAGGTTGCAGGTGCCTTTCTCCCTCCCAAAACTCACAGCCACCATGCCAGGACCTGGCACCCTGCAAAGTGCTCTGAAGGCAAGAGGTACAACGAGGTGCTCTCCCACCCCAGGGATGTGGCAAAGGGGATGGAGTAGTGGGGCTGATGGGCTCTCAGCGTGGGGCACAAGCATGGCACTGAACATGCCAGGGGTTGCCAGGGTAAACTGTGCCACCATCCACCCCTAGGGATGGAGGTGTATGCATGGATGCCCACAAGGACATGCCGGGGCCCTCACTCACTTCTGCTTGAGCTTCTGCAGGTCATCGAGCAGGTTGTCGCGCTCCACCTCGACACGAGCCCGCTGGTTGGTGAGCAGGTCCACCTGGCGCCGGAGCTCCCGCAGCTCCTCCTCGTACATCTCGGCCACGCGGGTGGGCTCCTTGCCCCGCAGGCGGTTCACTTCGGCCACCATGAGGGCATTCTGCTGCTCCAAGAAGCGCACCTTCTCGATGTAGTTGGCGAAGCGGTCATTGAGCTCCTGCAGCTCCACCTTCTCGTTGGTGCGGGTCTGCAGGAACTCCTGGTTCATGGCATCGGCCAGGCTGAAGTCCAGCAGCTCGCCGGCACCTTGGTAGGCGCTTTGGTAGGAGCGCAGGGGTGTCACGCGGGTGGTGCGGAAGCTGGACAGGCTGGGCACGGCCGAGGTGCGGGACACCTGGTAGACGCGGGAGGTGACAGAGCTGCCACTGCTGCCCTTACCCCCGAAGGAGGTGCGAGAGAAGACCGGGGAGGCACCGCCAAAGGTGCGGCGATAGGAAGAGACCCGCTGGCTGGAGGAGTAGGACTGGCTCATGGTGGCGGCGTGGAGCGGCGAGGCCAGAGCAGGGAGCAGGCGCTGGGGCTGGCGAGCGGCCGGCGGCTCTGTGAGGCGTCGGGAGGGGACCCGCGACGCCGCTATTTGTATCCTGCTGACATCATTCGCCCCTCCTGCTGCCGCTGGGCAGCTGGGGATGCTGCTGCGGGGGGACTGCTGCCAGCCCCCGCCTACTGCCCCTCACCTGCCCGCACGCTGGGCCATGGGCCCCCGCGCAAACAGCAACCGTGCCTATGGACCCCTGGGCACCCCCAGACCCTGCTGGGGTATCAGCCTCCCTCCCGGCCCCCACTGCACTGCCCTGTCCCTGACCCATGGATGGGGCAGGCTGGTGATGAGCCCCCCAGCGCTGCCCAGAGCCCTGTCAGGGCATATTGCCATCCCACCTATGGTGGGGGCAGGCAGACAGATGTCCTAGGCTGATGCCAGAGGAGGAAGAAGGGGACTCAGCACTTCACACCACCACTGGGGCCCTTAAGCCAGACACCATGCATGGTAGCTCTGGTGCCCAGATCTGCCTTGAGCACCCCAAAATGATGATGATGCCCTGACCCACCCGGTGGCTCAGATCTCCATGTGGGGCCAGACTCCAACCCAACCCCCCCCCCCCCCCCCCCCCCCCCCGCCCAGGCAAGGGCAATAGAGGCATTTAGGTGGGTTGTGATGTGGGGAGACACCTGCCCTGAGTGTCCTTGTGCTGAGCCACTACCCAACGCCCCTTTTCGACAGAGGGGCCTGAGTGCCAGCCCAAGGCTGGGCACTTTCGAGGTGCTGCTGAGTGACCCTGAGCAGGTGCTGGGTCCAAGCCTTCCCAGTGACATCAGCCCCTTGGGTCCTCACTGTGGCACATTCCCGAAGCAGCAGGCACCCAACCAAAATAGCCTCCAAGCTCATATGCGTGGGACATAGTGGTATTTATAGCCAGGGGAAGCACCCTCTTAACCCTTCTTGTGCCAGGTGTGTGCAGAGAACCATCCAGATGAGGACTCTGCCCGGAGCAGCCCCAGCCCCTCCCTGGTCCCTGTCACCCTGAGAGAAGGATAAGGTGCCCAGGTCATCCAAGGGTGCTGCAGACTCTGCTATCTCCTCAGCCTCCCCCTTGGCCTGGCAGTACTTTGGGGATCAGAAAGCCCAGCCCAACTCCCCAAAGCCTCCCAGATTGGAAAATACTCCAGTTCACTCCAGAACCCCCACTGCAGCATCCCACCCCCTGGACAGGCATTGAGCCAGGGCAGGGCCCCCTGGAGCCATCCACAAACCAGTGCCAGCCAAAGAGGACATCCTAAGGGAGAGGGACTGTGCTGGGGAAGCCCCTCGGGGGGTTGCCCCTTGCCTGGGCAGCATCCCATCCTCCCCAGCCCCTCTGACCCCCCCCACCTGGTGACCCCCAGCCCTGCCCAAGCTAGGCTGTTTTGGCTTACATCAGCTGGCAAAGCCCCAGCGCCTCTCTCCCTGGGTGCTGGAGGAGGGGACCAACGTGCCAGCGGGCACCAGGTGACTCAGCAGCAGGAGCCATGCTCAGCCCTGCCTGGCCTGCGCCCCTCAGCCCTCCACCCCGGCTGCAAGGCTGATGCTGAGCAGTGCCAGGGCTTGTCAGTGGCAGCATCAGCACGTCATCCTCAACTGCCTCAGCTCGAGGAGAGCTCCTGCCTGCCTACTCCCTGCCACCTGGGGGGCCAGCAAAGGCCTGGGTCCCACACTCATGCAGGTGAGAGGGGGCTTGATGCCCCGCATCCCTTCTGTCCCCTCAAGCCCCCCATCCCCGGCGCCCCTCCAGCCACCTAGTTGCAGCTTAATGCAGCAGCTACCCGGAGGGTGCCCACTGCTTGACAGAGCCTGCCTTTAAAAGGGAAGGTATGTCCAGATGGGGTTGTTTCATCCCAGCGCAAGGGGGAGGATGGGAGGAAGGGGGGCCTGGGGGTGGGGGGGAGAAGATGGAAAAACAGACAGCACCCTTCCTCCTCCTGGCCTTGCTCTGAGCACATCCCTGAGCTCCTTACGTGTGCCTTGCCTGACCCGTGAGTGCTGTCAGGGTGGCATGCCAGCCTTGGCTGGGGTGCAGAGGAGCTGGTGAGCATGCACAGCAGTACAGGGGTCTCCACGGGTCTGGTCCAGCACAGTTTCAGCTGTACTGTTCAGCCATCCCTTCCTGTGAGCCCACCCCACTGCACCACATTGTGGGACTATGGGGAGGATGGGCTCCCAGGGATGGGCTGTCCAGGGTGCTTAGCACCCTGACATGGTGCTTCAGGTAGGCCTGGAGTCCCCATCCCACAGAGCAGGAGGGTGCAATTTTGGGGTGCCCTAGGGAGGGGAAACACTGCTGCTAGGAGGGGAGGCAGCTCAGAGGGGTTAATCAAGAGCATCCTCCTGATCCCGTTCTAGGAGAAACTGAAGTGGCTTTTCCTCGGCTGCTGTGACAGCCTTCCGGGATGGCTCTGTGCAGGCAGGGGCCTCACTGCTGGCAGAGGGCGACAGATGCCTTGGACTTTCCACAGCCTCTTAGGAAAGTCCCGTCTGCCTTCAGGACCCAGCAGCACCGGAAGCAGGGGGCGAAGAACAGGACCTGGGAACCCTGCCAGAGTCCCATTCAGGGACACAGCCCCGGGGGCTGCAAAAAGTAAGGAGGCTGCAGAGAACAGCCATACAGAGATGCCTCCTGTCCTGTCCAGCCCCTTTCATCCTCCCCATGGCTCCATCCCAGGCCAGGCTGACCCAGACCGACAGAGCCTGGGAAGCAGCTTCCAAGCCCCTGCGCTGGCTTGGCCCCAACTCCCAGGCCTGGGACGAGGCTGCTGTCGGGAAGGCATCGGGAGCTGGAACGTCAAACAACTCCCTCCTGTCATGACATGCCCGTGAGTGAATCCAGCTGCATCCTGCTGCCGCCCCTCCTCCCCAGCCCTCCCTCCCTGCTGCTCCCCCAGGATTTAAACCGCTCGGGGAGCCAGGAACAGCATCCCTGGGGTTGACATCTCGGGGCTTGGAGATGGGCAGGATGCAGGGACAGGGTGCCAGCTTCTCCTCATCCCCATTCTCAGCCACTGGGGCTCCTGTACCCCCGTTAGGCCTGGCCCTGTCTCAGGGGTGAGTGGAGGGATGGGAATGAAGCAGCCAGGGTGTCCATCCCCCTCCTTCCTGGCCCCTGGCTGTCTCCCTGCATCCCACTCCTTTTAGAGCCATGAGTCTCCCAGGCGCCTTTACCCTAAGAGGGAAGGACTGTGTGGTCCATTCCCTGGCGCTGACGGACCCAGGGCGCATGCTATTGTCTAAATAGGAGATAGTTCTCCTTCCCTCCCTGGATGGTGGCCCAGCCCAGCCTGCTGGGGTCCTGGGTGCCCCACAGACTGCAGCCCCCAGCCTGCTGCTCACCCCAGCTGCCCCCATGCCTTCACCCACCCGAGGACTTGGAGCCATCAGTGTGGCTGTCTGGTTGCCCCTGGCCCCAGTCCCTGTGTCCCCAGGTGATAGGGATGTTGGGGGCAATAGCCTGTCTCCGAGTGGCACAGGGATGCTGGAGGGTGCCTGGTTGCCCTGCATCATGTGTGGATGCTGGGGGTGTCCATCTAGCCTCCATGACCTGTATGGATACTGGAGAGTGTTTGCTTGCCCCCCTGGGTCTTTGTAGGTCCTTAGGGTGAGTTGTTGCCTCAGCGGCCCATGAGGATGCTGATGTGACCAGCTGCCCCAAGGCCACATAGATGCTGGATGAGACCAGCTACCTCTGTGTCCATGCAGATTCTTAAATCATATACCTGCCCCCATCACTCATCCCAGCTAGCCCTGCAATCCGTGGGGATGCTGGGGATGTTTATCCATCCCCACAGCCCAGGAACAGGCTGAGGGTGCTCACCCGCTCTTGTGGTCCATGGGGATATTCACCTGTCCCAGTGGCCATGCAGGTGCTGGGCGTGCCCAGCTGCCCTCACAATCCATGTGGATGTAGGGATGCCTGGCCACCCTTGTGGTCCCTGATGGTGCTGGGGTGTCTGTCTGACTTCCCAATAGCATCACTCATGCCAGTGAGATGAGGTAGCATCACTGCCCACTGCATCACTGGTGTCTCGTGAGGCATGGTGGCCATTCGCTCAGCCTCCAGCAATGCCTGGGCAGTGATTTCATTTTCCCATGCCCAGACACGTGGGCCGGGAAGGGGGAGTACTGCCTCGATTGGTGCCATCCCTTCACCCATCCTGTCGGGGGGGGGGGGAGCAGGCAGCCTGGCAGGCAGCGGGAGAAGGGGGCGGCACTTCCTGCTCTCCGGCTGTGTTTACAGGCTCTGTCCTGGGCCATCTCCCCATTAACCCCTTCCACTGTGGCTCAGATCTGGCTGCCTGTCTCCAGGGAAGAATGCTTCCAGGAGCAAAGCTTGCCCACCCCCCACCCACCCTGAGCTGCCAGGGGATGCAGAAAAGGGCATGGTGCTCTCTCCCCTGGTCTGGCCCCTGCCAGGCACCCCATGGCACACACGAGCCCAGCAGGGGGGTGCAAACATCCCGAGGAGGAGCTGGTTATAGCTGCCAGGGCTCCCTGCTGCAGCAATGGGGTCCGTGGGGCAGAGAGGAATAGGACAGGAGCAGTGCCTTCCCAGGAGTGCGGTGTCGGGGTGGAGGCAGCAGCAGCAGGTGCTGTGCAGCCCCTGGCATCCAGCCAGGCGTGAGTCAGAGCCCACCCGGATATAGCCAGTGGGAGCTTTTTCTGGAAGCCCCTGTTGTTCCAGGAATAGCTGCGGCATGCCAAGACCCTGCCCTTTTCCTCGGCTTGTGGGGGTGGGCCTGCCACTCACCCCCTGCTCCAGCCACCCAGGAACTGATCCTGGTACCCCCTGCTCCTGCACCCATACCCCTGAGACCCATCTGCCCTCGGCACCAACATCTGCTGGGTACCAACCCTGGGCAGCCACTGGCTGGGGTGGCCATGGGCTCAAGATGTCCCCAGGTGTCCCCCCAGCATGGCCTGTGGAACACCTGGCAGCACATGGCCCTGAGCTGGGTGCTGCAGCAGCAAGGGGTGATGCTAGCAGGAGCAGGGGGGCTGCAAGGCACCCATGTACCTTGGGCAGGAGGGTGCAGGG